AAATGCCTTTGCTAACGTTCGCCACGTATGGCGGCGGGGCGACATTACTCTCGCACTGAAGGGTAGAATGTACAATGCATCGGTACGTTCGACCTTACTGTACGGTTGCGAAACCTGGCCCCTTGGATCAGCAGACATGAAGAGGCTAGTTACGTTCGACCACTGGTGCCTTCGCAGTTTGGCTCACATCTGGTGGGAACACCGCGTGAGTAACGAGCGTGTTCGACGCATTGTTTGTGACAGAAAAAGGAACTGAACCGCTCAGCACCGTAATTTCATGCGCCAGGCTCTGATGGCTTGGCCACGTGTTGCGCATGCCAGCCCATCGACTTCCACGACGTGCGTTGTTTGCTCACCAGGGATGTGGGTGGAAGAAGAGGAGGGGTGGCCAATCGATGACTTGGTCGAGAGCAATGAAGGCCCTCACTTCGGAGCTGGCCTCGGTTGGAACGTCACGGCTCCCTGGTTGGGGACCAAAAGACGAAGAACACTTTTGTCTAGTTACAGTTACTAACGTGGTTAGGAGCCGATCTCAGTGGCGTTCCCGCTGTGAGTTTCTTTGTCCCTCCCCATAACTTTTAGCCTCCCCCTCCCATCACGAACTCATTTCTTGGCATAATGTAATTTTACACCTTAGTTTTTTCTGTTGCCTCTTAGCCGGCTGGTAGCTTACCGGAACGACGCCCATCCGTTGTTGGTAGCTCAGCTGGCATGCAACTGTTGTATTTATTTTCCTTTTCCTTTACGTATTGCGACTCAGTAGCTGAGGTTTTTTACACCTCTGGCTTACCTGTATAATGATAATGATGATGCCGTCTAATTCGCGGTATGGACATTGCATGTTTGAGGTACTCCCGGCGAAATCTACGCAAGTTTGGCAGAGCTATGCCAACTCTGCTACAGAAAATCTGTCGGGTCTAGTTTTCACACCTTCGTAAACAATCACTTGCGTGTGCGTAATTTATTTCACTGACCAGGGGAGATAAGGCAATGGAGAGAAACTATCAGTACATTTCGTGAGATGGATTTTGTTATTTACGGTATCGCAACACGCTTTTCATATCATGACCTCCCCACGGCCCTCTATGACCCACAAGAGGGCCAAACGGCCCCCGTTGAGAATGATTGACCTAAATGATCCGCGCGGGTTTAAGATCTTAGGACAGTCGAGCATGTGAGGAGCAATCGACCTGGCGGGTAGGATCCCCATTTTACGCTTAATGTGCCCTGCTCTTCTAGTAAACAACCTATTAGTTCTGCAACGTACTTTCCGCTAAAAGTACAGTGTAGGCGATAAGCATATAAAGTTACGCCTTTTGAGTTTGTCCTAATTAGGTTTATTTACACAACTTCCTGGCTTATTGTGTTAACAATAGGTTGGACGCCTAATGATAATTATCCATATATTGATATATATATATATATATATATATATATATATATATATATGGTTGGCGGCATCCGGTTTCGGATTTGCCTGTCACTGTGATCAGCCACAGGACGCCTGCAAACACAGAGGGACCATGGGTGGCTTGCGCTGCACCACCCACGGCTCCAACCACATACCACATATTCAGTGTATACCCAAAGGAATAAGGCCGTTAGGCATGTCGACGGGAGCCACGTTTCATCAACGGAGCCGGCCCACATTCCTTCACAGGCAAACACAACCACGCTGTATTTGGGGCATCAAGCGCACACAAGGCGGTGGCTGGACCGTAGTCCGCTCCATACTGAGTGCATGGAACCACTATTTGATCCTAACACGACCACAAGGACCGTGCACCCCGTCCCCTCCAGCAACGACCAACTGTCACCTGAAGCCAGTGTGGACGAGATAGTGGGTAATAGACAGGTAGACACCTTGTCAACATGCACATCAAGCGCAACCACACCGGGGATATCAAGCAACTGCCAATCACTTGAGAGAAAGATAATAAATAAAATAAATCGATTAATGCATAAGGAAACGGTGAAATAAATCTTAAATGAATAGACATATGAAATAAGTTATCTAAAAATTAATCCGATATAAGTTCAGGAGGTCGGAAAGTATATTTTACGGAAATGCCACAAACACGATAATGTTATTCAAATTAACTAGAATTGGCTTAGTCGACTTGTGCAAGTTTATAGAAGAGAGTACAGGTAGACATTCATCTGAGAAAGAAAAGCATTAGGACAAAATTGAAAACCCGCCACCTGAAATAAAGAGGCTTCGCATGCAAGCACGCGGTTAGTAAATCGAATGCAGCGTACCTACAAACGCTGCGCTGGTTCTGCCTAAGTTCTCTGCAGGACGCGTCGTCGCTTCGGTACTGGTCCCGAGTGACATCGCTTATGGCTCACTAGGCCTGCTTGACTCAAGGATATATATATATATATTTATATATTCAACACTATACCAATTACAATATAATTGGCTGAGTGCCACAAAACCAACGAGGAAAAATACAGCATGAAAGGGAAAACAATTTTTAGGGTAGAAGATTCTCACAGTAAGTGCGTCATTGCGTACGGTCTTAATCATATCATCCAGCGTTTGCGACCAGATGTGCTCGGAATCCTTTGGCCCCCGACCTGGAAGTCAAGAACGCCCGACAGCAGCCAGCTTCAACGTTTGCGCCTTAACGATCCAAGTTTTACATTGCCCTCCTTTTCGTTGCTTCAGAGCCACACCTGTGCACGCAAATAGGGCTCCTCGTGATAACCGCTGTGTAGGCTGGCGAATCACATGCCCAAGCCAGCGAAGCCTCCGCAGTGAAATGATGCTATCAGTCGGTCGGTGGAGTTCGTTAAACCGGAAGACTCCTCATAACTGATGTGATGCTGCCAGCAATGCTTCGTAGGGAGCTATAATCGAAGACAGAAAGCCGCTGAATGGGCCAAGTCTCACAGCCGTACAGCAGAATCGCTCGTACCATAGCATTATAGACTCTTCCCTTGAGAACGAGGCTGATATCACGACGAAGCCACAGGTTAAGATGGTTAGCGAAAGCGACTCTAGCCTTGGAGACACACAGTGAGATCTCATCTATAAAACCGCCAATATTAAGGCAACTCCCAAGATAAATGAATTTGTCGACCACTTCCAACGGATGCCCCGAAAGGGTGCGTTTGGCCAGTCCTGTAATACGACTTTACATTTGGCAGAGGCAAAGTCAAACCCAAATTGGGCGGCGGACATCTCCAGTCTGAGCAGCACATTCTGGGCGGCTTTAGAGGACTCGCAAATCACAGCAATGTCATCGGCGTACTCTAAGTCCTGAAGGCGGTCACCAGGGAGCAGTGCAACACGGCAGGACTCAGAGTTATCCAGAGCAGTATTTAGGATCTCGTCCATGGCGAAATTGAACAAGAATGGAGAGGCTGGGTGACCTTGTCTAACATCGCTAGTGATAGTGAAAGGAGGCAAAATTTCTCTGTGTGCTCGCGCGCGGCCCGAAGTTTGATGCTAAATAGCACGGAGAATGTTGATGTACTTCTCAAGTACTCCCCTCTTCAGTAAACAGTTCCAAAGAGTCACTCTTTCAACAAAAGCGACTCGAATATCCAAGAATATGACCGTAGTTGGTCGACTGTACGTATGGCGTTGTTCAAGTATCTGGCTAGGCTCTTCACGTTCTCTAAGATGATTTAATGACTTACTTAATCTTCTTTTATGGAGACCAGTAAAAGTGTGTCTCACCTTATGTCCATGTTGTGTTCGGTCATCCGTATTGAAAGCCGTTATCGTTTGACCGATGAAGTTTGTGTCTTATTCTTTCCAGTCTCTCTTCTATAGGAAATGACTCTTACTGTCTTGTTCCACCTTGTCTTTCTGTGTTGGAAGTATTCCCCTCCATTTAGCATTCAGTTTATATACTTTAAGATTCTATGTGCCCGTAGCAATCATAATCTTAGCTCAAAGACGTTCTTAAGTTAAGGGGCATTGTTCGTTTAGCTACATTGTGATAGCACTATTCTGATCAGGGCTGTTTAAAGCACAATCCTTAGATGCACGCTGTTTTGAAATACCAGGCATATATGGTTCTCTACCTTTTTCCTCAATTCCGCCGCGCTGCAGTGTTTCCTCTCATTCGAAAAAGTTTTGAATACCTCGCTTCTTGCATTTTGATGAATAGTTTCTGTGATCAGTTTGTACCTTATTTTGATGTATGCAAGTTTAAATTTACCGTCATTTTCCTGTGAACCATTTAATGCAAGAATATTATTTCGGTGTTTACCAGTTAGGTGGCGTAATTGCTATCTTCTAATCTGCTGTTAATTAGGTAATGTATACTTTGTATGGAATCCCACCTCATGATGACAAATCTGTCGTCTACGTATCGGATCCGTAATATCGGTTTTATACGGCTTCCGATGCCGGGCGGAATGGAATCGACATCAAAGCACCATTATTTCGGGTTACAATTAAGCATAGTTTCATTTCATTACGTTGGACATTCTCTACTTAATTTTTGAAAATTCAGCTAAATGTTTAGCTGTCAACTACAAATTATAACTAACTATTTTGTAATTTGCCGTATTAAAATGCTTATGCTTGAGTAATGAAGAGCGCAAAAGTACCGCCGATGGCGCTTAGACTAGGAATTGTCGATTAGAAACGTATAAGGCCCTAATAGAGATTACCACTAGTAAACTTACAACTCATGTTTAACATTCTCGAAATGGTAAATCAAGGTATAATCCAGCAACATCTGGCTAGTTATTTTAAGCCTTTAAGACATATTCGCTCATATTGCTCTAATATACTTTGCCTACATCGGGCTTACAGCATCCGGAGTGATCCCTGTCTAATAGTTCTGCAACATCAATACCATATAACCCACATTAACCTCGATGACAAGCCTGGCCCAAATCAAAAAGCTCGGCAATCGAGTAGCGAATACAGAACCGAGTTTCCAAACTTTTGCTTTTATACCTCCCTCAGTTTGTTGCAGAAGTCCTATCTTATAAACAGCGAGAAAAAAGAAAATGAAAAAGTTTATTTGTCTTTCAGAGAAGTTAACAAAATTACACACATGAAATGTCAATTTGTTACAGAATTGAGCGTCAGGAAAAGCGGTGTGCAAAGTAATGTCTCTCGAATTACCCATTTAATGGTTCATCTTGTTTAATAAAAAGGATTTAACAACTCACAAATAAAGATAACAACGAGAAACGTGATTGGGCATTTGTTCACGGCTTTTGTAGCTAAAACACGAGAGAGGCGATATAATCATTGTTGCGACCAGCGCAGCGATAGCCACATGCAAAAAAGAATGTTCGCATTTGCAGCGTAGTATCACGTATAATTCCTTTTATTCTTAAAACATGCTGTGTGATACATAGCAATTTTCTGCTAAGCGTGATTAGGTCAGTTGTGCTATCGAAACAGTCGGTCTGCATTTTTTGCTGTCTTAGCGAAATGTGCCACCAATGATCTCAAAATCTAAATGGTTTGTTCCAAGCAACTTATTTCCAAAATCAATCACACTACAGGACGCAAGCAAACAATTTGTCTAAATGATCAATCCTTCAATTCACCACAGGGAGGCGCTATCATCAAACGGGTTCGCAAGGATCAATACCATTACAATCAAACTATGCATATGTAGGTGAATTTGAAATAACAAGAGAAAATACACAAAAACTAATGCATAATGACTAAACTCTCATTATCATGGAAGAATGACTAGGTAAAACATGGAAAAGTAAACCTATAGACACCTTTGTAAGGAGAATAAATATAAGCCTACAATAATCACTGTAAGAACGCAATAATTCAAGTCATGTGTGCGTATACATTGACAGCAAGATAATTGCTAAACAAGGTAAAACTTATCGCATATTACCGAAAAAAGCCGATGAAATATATACAGGTTTTCATGTTTGCACCATGAACAATGAACATTGAATTTATACGGGTTAAGAAGCTTTGCTTTACAAGTCCCGTTGGAGAGTCGGTTGGCATATCGAAATAAAAATAGTGATAGTAATGATAGTAAAACAGTTAGTTAATCAAATAAGAAAATAAGGACTTATTGTTCGCTCCTCCCTCGTCCAGCAATCCACCTACATTCACAGCACCCACAGTTAACATCAAATAATTCCACGGTAAACTTCAGGCGTAGGATGGAGACGCAGTGCTAAGTTATCAAGTGTAAGTGGATGAGTGCGTCATCCAATCATCTTAATATCGGTGCAGGGACGACAGATTCTGGGAGAACATTCCACGGGTGACAGACACGAATGGAAAAGAAATTTCTGTGGCATTCCAAGTGGCTATACTGTACAGCGAGTTTCAATGAATGGCCCCTCAGGGTTGTATTGGTGTTGAGTCGCAGTAAATGGTGGCACACATGATGTGCCTCACGCAGAATCAAGAATACCATAATCAGGTCACCATATAGTCTGCGATCGCTTCCACTGAATATCTCCAATCGTCGCAGTAACACCTGGTATGAAGGAACGCGCAATCCAATTAAGTTTTTAAATGTTCTACGTCGTTGCTTTTCCAGTGCATTAAGGTCACGTTACAGCCATGAATGCCAGGCTTGAATTGTGTATTCGACATGGGGCGAACATACGCACTGAACATTTGTAGAAATATGGAGCTGTTTATTTTTCCAGACGCCCGTCGCAACAGCCGGCTTGTTAGATCCCATTCTTGGAGGCCTTTTTGGATGGTCTGGAGCAACTCAAGTTCTTTTGAACCTGGGCAATTAAGTCATGTTAGACAGCTGATAGTTTCAGTACATTTGCTCCGAGCCGGTATGAGTAGCTAATCTGACGTCGGATGAAATGTACCTTGTGTTTACCGACGTTGAAATGTAGTAAGTTTTGGGTTGACCAACGATACACCGTATCTAGGTCACTCTGAAGCAGATGCTGGTCTGCGTTCGCCTGGATCATGCGCCTGATCTTGATATAGTCGGCAAACATTAGGAAGTTTGAATCAATTTCCTGTGCAAGGTCACGAATAAAAACCAAAACAAACGTGGACCCAGAACTGAGCCTTGCGGCACACCACACTCTACTTTCATGGGGTCCGATAAAGAGCTCCGAATTCTGAGCACTAATTTCCATTAATGTAGAAATTTGGCAAATCAGCTTAAAAGTGAGTCGGTGATCACGTAATGCTAGAGCTTGGAGAGTAGTATCTGATGGTATAGACGATGGAAAGCTTACGATAAATGACGGTCAATCAAAACAAGTCCTACTCAAGCGTCATGTGACTCGGTCCAACTACTGTGTACTAGTAGTAAAGTCGTCGTACATGACCGCTGTCAGCGGAAACCGTGCTGCTCAGACGTGTTGATGTTACAGATTTCCAGATATCACAGCAATATATACGCCAGGCATCGTCGCAGTATTTTTTACCACTTTGTTTAGAGGAGCAAATATAAATAGGTTATATAGATCGAAGGAAGCCATTCGCATCGCTTCTAACATGGATAATGTGGGTAAAAAAATTCCTTTGGCAAAAACCGTCATACCGATAAACCGACAAATCCAAATTGCAAAACTTGGCGCCAAAATGGTTGTTCTACAACGTGAGAGCTATAAAGATTTCAAGAAGTCACATCCCTAATAGGAAACAATAAATTATGCAACAGACATCCGGAATTGGCAGGTAGCTAAATGATTTATAAGCGGATTTAGAAAATTTGGCGTAACATTTAACATAATATGTGGATGCTAAATCTAAAGCGCGTAATTGGAAAATGAGTTCTTTCTATTCAGTAACTTTGTAACAATTCTATACTGCTTAACAGAGGAAACTTTCGAAGAAAATGAACCGAATATTACGTTATTCGGATGCATAAACGTTCAGTTAGATAACCCGGAAAAATGGAAGACATACGTCCAAATGCTAGTTGAAGGAATATAAACGAAGAACCTGCAGTCGTATAACACAAATGCATGAGCACAAGGTTTTTGATTCTGAATTCAAATGGAAGCGTAAATTCGCATTTCCTATTGGGAAAAATTCTGAGTAGCTTCACCTGGTCGAGCAACGCCCATAGAAAATTAAGACAAAGCAGTTAAAGCACGCGCAGCAGATGCGGTGTGAAAATAAGTTAAGTGACCGACAGCCAGTAAAATAGTTTGGAAAATAAAGAGCAGGGAAGCGCGGGACGCAAATTTATTATAAGGTCTGTTTGTTGCAATTTCCCAGGGAATGTTGCCGTCGTTTTCTGCCGTCCGGTTGACGCAGTTTGATTACACGATTGCAGAATGTGATTTTTGCTGACGACAGAATTTTCCTATACAGCTTTTCGTTCGATGGTTTAGGCAAAAGAATAGAAGCAAATATCACTCACCTCCATCGGTGGGTTTCATCGAACTACTTGTGGCAGTCCTGATTGGCGTTGTACTCGTCTCGGTGGTTGTGGTGTCCTCTGTTATAACTAGATATAGAGGAGTTGAAAGCATTGTAGGATTATTGGTTTTGAAAACAACTCACTCGTTGCCAATATTAAACGCAGGTTTTAGGCTTGTTAATTTCAAGGAATGGCTGGCAAATTTCAGCGGTTGCTAGCAGTTATGATTATGAATTTAGCTTTGATAAAGCTTTCCCAAGCTGATGGTTGCCATTATCAAAATTTACCAGATCACTGTGTATCTTAAAATAATGCCATTGATAATTTCGGCAGGCGTGCTACCTGTTAGTTGCTTAAGTAAAAAGACCAGTGGCGTTGCTTATGACTTTGAATAAATTCCAAGATGGAGTTTGTTCTCAATTCGTTAGATAGTGACGTACTCCTATGCAGAAATGCTTGTGAAACAGAAAGTATACATAATAAAAATGGTGGAACTTCGGTTACATTTTCTATCTGCTAGATCATATAAGTCATATCGTTGAAGTACTTTATGTGTGAAGGTTATTACTATTGTACAAACGGTACTAATATGTAAAAAAGAAAACAAACAAGTGGACGTCTTTGATACAGTTTATATTAATGCACAACGTCTATTTAGCTTCTATGGGAAACCGCTTTGTCCCCATGCTTGTTTTATTTGGTTGCTGAAAATACGTACTATTTAAAACCAATCTGGGATTTATTGTGAATGCAAAACCCAGGTAGCTGCGAAGTTTTGCTTAGTGAATTTTACGTTTTGCATATATTACTTTTGTGGTTTAAATGGAGCTAGATTTTGGGTAATCGCTCTTGTGTCATTATGGTTCCACTGGTTCCTTGCTTCTAAATTCCTGTTATGCCAATAGTTCATTTCGACTATTTTAGGACATTTAAGTTCTTTTTTCTCTGTATCAATACTCACTTACTTTTTGATTGTGTACTTTTAGTTTTTGTTCTTCTTTCAAGGTTATTTTTTATTATTATCATTCATCCTGCTTTTATATTAGCCTCGAAATTTTCTGGGTATGTTCCACAGTTATCGCCTTAATATATGTTTCTTGTTCTTGGAACGTTCTTTAATTTGGACTGATTTAAATGTATCCAAGTTGTTGGCAAGCAATGCTGTAGTTTTCGCTATGAACAATTAGCCGAAACTAGCTCTCGTCTTAGAAATTTGGTGTGTACGATTCCAAGTGGAGGTTGAAAAGATTTCAGTGTAACAATTACTAATGAGTGGTGGTATTTGCACTAGTAAAGTATGTTCATTACCATCCAAGCTTAGCCCTCAGGCTTTGGCTAGAGTGGGAAAGCATCAGCCGCCGGTGTTTTGACCTTGTGGGTCTCGTCAGTGGTGTGCCTTTCAGTGGAACCCTGCTTGATCCTAACCCACATTACTTCCGGATGTCAGCAGCTAGTGACATTTTACCATGGGCGACGGTCCTCAGTCTTACTAATTGACCACGTACTGTGATATAGCCTTGCTCGTCATCAGCTGTTGTGCAATTATCGAAATTGCCGAGGGCAACAGTTAGCCCCACACGCCAGTTCGTTTCTGGCATCGCAGTTGAATGGAAGCCGGTCTGTATCATAGAAAACTGTCAATAATTCAAGTCCGCGGCTGTCATCCATTGCGAAGTTACACTAGCTGCTGTTAGCCGGAAGTCAATTGCAAGGAAACCAGCAGTAATCGGCTAGAAGGCGCACCACGGTTGAGACCCAAAGCTTGCAACGCCGGAGTCTGGTGCAGTTCCAGACTAGTCATAGCCAGCTGACGAAAAGTAGACCGTGATGAACTACCCCCGACTTAATACCTATATATATGGCATAGATAAATTAATAGAGGTTAGTGATATACGAGGGCACTGTTAACGGCCCGAGTTATCCGCACCTGTCCATCAACTACGGAGTAGGCATTTATTCTTCGAGTTGTATATCACATAGTTGAATGACAGAGTTTCCATATATAGTCATTTGTGGAGGTTTATAATATAACATATTATTCAAAGTAGAATTGCTTACGCCTACTCCTTCATCGGAATCATGCAATATTATCATTTTCCGGGGTGCGGCAATGTGATTTTCTAAAATATTACACTGGCACTTTATTGGGTGTTTATTCGCTGCCATAGTAAGGCTTGTCGTTTCATTGTCGTGAACGCAACACTCAATGGGATTAGGCATAATAAGCACATGAAGTGCTTTTGTTACAACTCAAAATCATAGTGCTTGTACAAACGCAATCTAATTTAACTAGTTTTATGAAAGCGAATATGTGCAAAGCGTTTATTTTAAAGCTTTGTCTGAAACATCAAACCAGTTCATCACTGCTATCTATGGATTCACGTAAGTAACTTCACTTCTATTACGTAAGCATGCGCGTAACCAAAACACCTGTATTAACGCTTATCATAACCATTTGCCTGATGAAATACACCATTCTCATTTGATGTCACCTGTACCGGTTTCACCTATGTGTTCTCTTCAGGCACTTTAGCGCTCGTATTTGCTTTCCTTTTTCTCAAGCCTCCGCTATTTATTTTTAATGTAACTTATTATTGTTGGAGAACTTGATCCGCGCAAATATAATTTTCTCATATCTATCGTTAGAGTCGCTCGCAATGAGTCTCTGCACCAACTTCGCTATAAATTGAGACTGGCATATTGACTAAACCACCATATTCCTTTTTTAAAACAAATGCTTATCTTCGGCACTCCTTCTCCATCAGCATCTTTATCCTTGGATTGTCTCCTTTGATGTGAGAATTATCATATTTTTCCGGATTGTCACCAGCAAGGTCAAAGACAAAAACATTAATCATGCTTTGTATTTTGTTTAGATGAACTTCATACATCACTTACTTGCTGCCGTCCCCTAGCAATTAAGTGTTTTGCACTGTGTTATTTATTATTGCCTGGCATAGAAACTAAGTATTTGGTTAACATTTCAAGGTGCTTTCCCCAACATAGCAGAGTTAAAACGGAATAAGCACAAAAATTGATAGCACAGTTTCTTTTAGTGAGTGCCGAACTGCCCGCTGTGCTTAGCAGGTTGTTGCAAACGTTCCCCTATCAATCGAGATGGCATCCCCAGTTCGTTGTTGTGTAGCGTGTAACCAGTAGCGTAGCTTTGGGAAGCCCTGATGAGAGTGCACGTGGGTTTCTATAAGTTCTCAGGTTTGTTCGCGGAGATCAGCAACCCATTTGGCTAGGACTTCTGATTGTGCTCAGCATGTTGGACACATAGTTGCCCTTTGAGCTTGAACTCTCCGATTTGTGCTTTGTGACTGCCTGCTTACTCCAGTGCTCAAATACGTCGTCCGTTCCGTTTGTCTGGTTTGCTGACCCACCGGATTTAATCCTTTGGGTGACGTTCCGTCGACCGTAGTGTTGGGTTTCCAGCTTCCAGTTCAAGGTGCCAGTTAATTGAATCAGTTGTGGAGTGCCACGCATCCAGGAAATCTCTTGCAGGTTTTGTACACCCATGTGCCAGAATCTTCACATTTTCCAGATCAAAGTAATGACCCTCTCGATCTTCATGTGCGCAATCCGGCGTATTTGCATCATGTATTCTTACAGCAACGTTGTGCTCGGTGACGCATTTACGAAGCTCTTTACCAGGTTATCTAATTCAAACCGTGTCACATTTGTTGCATGTTATTTGGAAGATAACATTGTTTTGGTTAATCTGATACACTTTATCTTTACCCTTGGAAATCAGTTTTCCTACTTTGGCTATTGGTTTTGGGCCACCGAAATTTTGTGTAACTATAGTAACCGCCTTGTCAGTTTAGAAAAATTATTAATTTACGGCAGCACTTTCGTTTGTTTGTTTGCTGTCGTGACCAATGTTGTTAGTGAACTCTTCGTTTCCTTAGGCTTCTTCTGATGAAGCTTTTCGCATAACCGTTCTTTTGAAATACTCGGTATAGGTGGTTTTATTCAAGCCTTCTTAATTCAGTTGTTCTGTAGTCGGTTGCCGCTCGCTTGAATGAGCTTCGAGCGCAGCTCCTTTTTGTGGTTCATGGGGGGTGGTTGCCGTGGTTGTTTAATATTTGCGCAGCATTTTCTTTCGATATACGCATGTGTGTAATGTCCCGACGGTGATCCTGTTACCCATGGTTGGCGGCATCCGGTTTCGGATTTGCCTGTCACTGTAGCAAGCCACAGGACGCCTGCGCCTACCGAGGGACCATGGATGGCTTGCGCTGCACCACCCACAGCTCCAACCACATACCACATATCCAGTGTAAACCCGAAGGAGTAAGACCGGGAGGCATGTGGATGGGAACCACGTTTCATCAACGGAGCCGGCCCACACTCCTTCACAGGCAAACACAAGCACGCTGTATTTGGGGAATCAACCGCACACAAGGCGGTGGCTGGACCGTAGTCCGCTCCACACTGAGTGCATGGAACCGCTCTTTGAGCCTAGCACGGCCACAAGGAACCGTGCACCCCGTCCCCTCCAGCAACGACCAACTGTCTCCTGGAGCCAGTATGAACGATGTAGTGGGTAATAGACAGGTAGGCACCTTGTCAACATACACATCAAGCGCAACCATACCGGGGATATCAAACAACAGCCATTCACTTTAAACGACAAGCTGAAATAAAATAAATCCAATAATGCATACAGATACGGTGGCATAACTCTTCACTAAATTACCATATGAAGTAATTTGGTTAGCAACAAATCCGTGATAAGTAAGAAATGTCCACAAGTTACTTAAAATGCTACAAACGCAACAAAATAACCGAAGCGCAATTAGTGTAAGTAAGGTGGCCAGTTAATAGAACATTATTCAGGGAGACAGAACAAACCAGATGAAGCGGAATGAAATTTATCCAGCTTAAAAAGACCTAGTTTAAGTGTAAGTTGGTTTAGCCCAACTTCGGTGAAGAAGCATCAAGAATGCAACATCAGCCTCAGCATGGGGCATCCTGTTACCCATACATCCATACATATTAACATGATCTCATTCTCCAATTCAACTGTAAAATTTATATTAATGAGGTTGTTGTCGAGCAACACTTGAGTCGTCCGTATT